GATTGGGCGCCATTTGCAGCAAACCAACTACCATGAATAATCACTTTTGTGAGCAGCTAAAAATAGTTTTTAGTTTTTGAGGGAAATTCACCCAGAGTTTTACAATTGGGCGCCATTTGCTACGAACGAAAGTAATTCTTCCTTTGCTACGAACGAAAGTAATTCTTAATTTTTTGTCTGAAGATATATCAATACGGCTAGCGATTGCATGCCATCTAGCATTAGATATGTGTGATATTACTTGCAAATGGCGCCCAATCAGTACCATTGTAAATTTCCTAAAATGCTAAATTAATAATCGATTCTTTAACTTCGCCCAACACACCTGTATAAGATTAAATGTGAGTATGGAACATATTGGCCGAATCCTTCTGGCGTCACCCCACAAAGGGTAAAAAATTTGGAATTGAATTATAACTGTCACGAAATGCGAAACAAGTCAGGGATTATCTTCAAACTTAGTGTATCTTAATATTTTACTTAACCGGATATATGATGTGAATATGGATTTTTTCCGGACCCACTCTATCTGGTACCTGCCCCACGAAAGGGTCAACATCTTGCATAAGTAAAACCCTGTACATATATATAAAGGGTGATATGAAAAAAAAAACTACAACCAACTTCATACTGCCGTCGTTTCTAAGCCACCCTTTCGACAGTTGTTAAAATTATTCCTGTGACAGGTCATGATGGATGGATGATGGAATTCAAGCGCGATAGTGTGATTTCTTTATATTTGGCTGGAAAACCACAAGTGGCTATCGTTAGAGCACTCCAGCATTTAAATGTGAATAAATCTTGTCTATCTCGTACCATCGCTCGTTACCGTGATACTGGTAGCGTAGCTCGACGTCAAGAAAGTGGGCGGAAGAAACATCAGCAACATCAGCAGAAATTTTTCGAAAAATAAAAAAGCGACTTGATCCAAAACCGCGTCGTAGTGGCCGAAAAATGGCTCGTGAGCTCAACATATGGCAATATTTCATTCGGCAAATATAGAAAAATGAGCTCGGGGTGAAGCCATTGAAATTGCAAAAAGTGTAAGGACATACACCGCAACAGAGAGAAAATAGACTCAAAAGAGCTAAAGAGTTGCATCGCTTGGCCACCACCGAAAGTGATGAACTGCAGAATTTGATTTTCCCCGATCTCCGATGAGAAAACATTCGTTGTCCAGCAGTTTGTTTACTTGCCAAAGAGGTCAGCTGAAAAAGTTCACCTTCGGTTGGCCATCAGAACTCAAAAGTGGGCCGCCATAACAGCCGATGTTCGCTCTCCGCTCGTATTAATCGACCATGACATCAGAATAAATGCCGAAAATTATCGCCAAAATATTCTGGAGGGTGAATTAAGGCCTTGGGCACGTGAGCTGAACATATCGCAATATTCCATTCGGCAAATATTGAAAAATGAGGTCGGGGTAAAGCCATTGAAATTCCAAAAAATGCAAGAACTTACACAGCAACGGATAGAAAATAGATTCAAAGGAGGTAAAGTGTTGCTTGGCCACCACCGAAAGTGATGAACTGCCGAATTTGATGTTCTTCGATCTCCGATGAGAAAACATTCGTTGTCCAGCAGTTTGTTTACTTGCCAAAGAGGTCAGCTGAAAATGTCCACCTTCGGTTGGCCACGCACCAGAACTCAAGCGCCGGCTACGGTGATGGTGTGAGCCGCCATAACGGCTGATGTTCGCTCTATGCTCGTATTAATCGACCATGGCATCAGAATAAATGCCCAATATATTATGGCGAAAATATTCTGGAGGGTGTATTAAAGCCTTGGGCACGTAAGCTGAACATATCACAATATTCCATTCAGCAAATATTGAAGAATGAGCTCGGGGTAAAGCCATTGAAATTCCAAAAATGCAAGAACTTGCACAGCAACGGAAAGAAAATAGACTCAAAAGAGCTAAAGAGTTGCTTCGCTTGGCCACCACCGAAAGTGATGAACTGCCGAATTTGGTTTTCTTCGATCTCCGATGAGAAAACATTCGTTGTCCATCCCAACAATGTAAACAAACAAAATGATCGTGTTAACTTGCCAAAGAGGTCAGCTGAAAATATGCACCTTCGGTTGGCCACCAGAACTCAAGCGCCGGTCACGGTGATGGTGTGAGCCGCCATAACAACCGATGTTCGCTCTATGCTCGTATTAATCGACCCTGGTATCAGAATAAATGCCGAATATCATCGCGAAAATATTCTGGAGGGTGTATTAAAGCCTTTAGCATGCCAACATTTTGACCGCAGACCTGGGACATTCCAACAGGACTCAGCACCACAATCGCACTCAGCACCATCGCCACCCAAGAATGGTTATAAAATGCGGTTCCTCGCTTCATTTCCAGCGCACAATGGCCACCCTAAATCTCCAGATACCAGTCCGTTGGACTATTGTGTCTGAAGTGTTTTGGAAAGTAAGGTTGGCACTAAAAAATACCAAAGTGTCGATCATCTGATGCAAGCTCTTCGCCGGGAATGGGCCACAATACCGCAAAGCAACATTCGGGCAGGATGTGACGGTTTCCTTGGCCGCTGTGAAGGCCATAATTCGTGTCAAAGGTGACCAATTCGAACAAATCTAAACTTATTCTAAAATGTTATGCTATGCTATGATGCGTTTGGCTTTTGCTGCAGTTTTTTTCCTTGGCGCCATTTGCCCAGGGAAAGCATATATTTTCCTGAACAGCTATCGTATGGGAGATTAACAATTTTCAAATATGTACTCCAAAGGATATGCTTTCAACCCACTTGTCAATTTAACAATTTTGAGACATAAACTACAACGGATACGCTTTCAATCCTCTTTCCTAATTTTTTTATACCCTCCGCCATAGTATGGAGGGTATATTAAGTTTGTCATTCCATTTGTAACACCTCGAACTATACATTTTAGACCCCCCAAAAAGTATATATATTCTTGATAAACATAAAATTCTATGTCGATTTATAAATGTCCGTCCGTCTATCCGTCTGTAGAAGTCACTCTAGCTTCCGAACGAAATGAAATAGGTTGATAAAATTTTAGTTAAACGTGTACTATGTATGCAGGACATTTGGTATTGGGCCATGTAGGTCCACATCTTCGTATAGCCCCATATAACGATACCTCCCGATATGCGGTATTTTGATGATTTTAGCGACATTTTTCACCGGAATTGTTTTGATATTTGAAGTTGGTAATAGATACTACAGCCTATGACAGAAAATTGTCTGAGCAGGTCCACGTCTTCGTATAGCCCCCGTATAACGGTAGCCCCGATATTCGGTATTTTGATGATCTTAGCGACATTATTTACCGGAATTGTTTCAAAATTAATATTTAAAGTTCGTAATCGATGCTACGGCTTAAGACAGAAAATGGGCCATGTAGGTCCACGTCTTCGTATAGCCCCCATATAAGGGTACCCCCCAATATTCGGTATTTTGATGATCTTAGCGACATTATTTACCGAAATTGTTTCATATTTCGCAATTGAAGTTCGTAATGGATACTACAGCCTATGACAGAAAATTGTCTGTGCAGGTCCACGTCTTCGTATAGCCCCCATATAACGGTACCCCCGATATTCGGTATTTTGATGATTTTAGCGACATTATTTACCGGAATTGTTTCAAATTTCGCATTTAAAGTTCGTAATGGATACTACAGCCTATGACAGAAAATTGGCTGTGCAGGTCCACGTCTTCGTATAGGTCCCATATAACGGTACCCCCCGATATTCGGTATTTTGATGATTTTAGCGACATTATTCACCGGAATTGTTTCAAATTTCGCATTTGAAGTTCGTGCAGGTCCACGTCAGGTCCACGTCTTCGTATAGCCCCCATATAAGGGTACCCCCCGATATTCGGTATTTTGATGATTTTAGCGACATTATTCACCGGAATTGTTTCAAATTTCGCATTTGAAGTTCGTAATGGATACTGCAGCCTATGACAGAAAATTGTCTGTGCAGATCCACGTTTTATAACCACAATGGTATCTTCCTATATTCGGTATTTTGATGAATTTAGCTACATTAAAAACTGATTTTTTTCAAGTTTCGCATTTGAATATTGTAATAGCTTCTGACAAAAATTGCCTATGCATGTCCACGTCGTCGTATAGACTCTAATATACGGCTACATTTGGTATTTTCAAGAATTTAACAGATTAACGGATTTTATTTTTTGAAAATTCTTAAATTTGTACCAAATCGTGGAGGGTATTCAAAGTTCGTTCCGGCCGAACTTACAGCTTTTTTACTTGTTTTTAAAAAATAAAAAAATGCTTCAAAACCACAAGCAAGCTGTTGACTATAATACTCCATTTACTTAAGCATAATGATAATCCAAAATCCTGATATCTAAACATCTATTCCATCGAAAAAAAAAACTTAATAGAAAAGAATCGAATTGTATCAATGCCAATTGATTGGGCGCCATTTGCCATGGAATGTATTTACTTTCCTGAATACGCTTTCAATCCACCTTAACATTAGTTTAGTAGTCTTCTCAATATTCTATCATTAAAGTTTTTTTTTTTTGACAAAAGAAAAGATCGCTTCCAATTCACAACTAGAGAACTCCATTTACTTGGGCATAATGACATTCCAAAATTGAATACTTCATGTTTCATCTCTCCTCTGACATCGAAACATGTATTCCAACGAAAATTTTTCATTGGAATTTCATCCCACCCTTATCGTTGTTATCAGATTTTTAACTATTGTTTTTTAATAATTTTTCCATTAGCTTTGATGGCATCGAATAAATTGCCAAATTTTATTTAATTTTTTTTTTTTCTTTTCAAACTCATTGAGGACAACAACAAATTTAAGATAGATTGATAATGTTTTCGTGTAAATGATAGCATCTTCTTTATCGAACGACAAAAAACAGAACATGCCAGACATGAGCATTTTTTTTTTTTTTTTTTTTTTTTTGGTTTCAATGGACCCTAACAACCTATAAAAAGGCAATAAAATTTTCACATCGGCACAGAGTTACTGAAGTACTCTAAAAACTAGCAAATCAGTTTTCGAAGTTCGAGTGTGTAATTTAAGTGCGGACCGCGAACCAGAAAGGATACACGCACGGAAATGAGGAGTAAGTTTTGAGTGAAATTTTAAGTGAAGTGAAGTTAAGTGTCATCCGGGGGCAGAGAGGCTGCTATTGGATTACTAGATGCAATTTTTAATGAAGTGCTGTGAAAATTTAAGACGAGAATGCAAAACCAAGGATACATTTGTGAGAGGCGAAACAAGAGTTTCGAAATTTTCAAAAAAAGTGTTTCAATGTGTTTTTAAAGTCTCCATGAAATATATTTTTTTTCATTGCTGAAAAACGATTGGGCGATTGGGCAAACTGTCAGTATTTTACACTTACAGGTGTATGTACATAAGAAGCTTGCAGTCATGGCTAGACATATTTTGTGACATTTCAAAAAAGGGATTACAGAGCCGCACTAAAATCCTGCCGTCGTTTTCCACTAATTTTTTAATATGCCTAGCCATGACCTCAAGCTTTTGTATGTACTTGAACCTTTAGCCTCCTTTTTGAAGCAAAAATATTCCCCAAGGATTGTCTTTAGAGTATCGCAACCCAAAAAAATCCTTCTAAAGATTTTCAAAATTACTATTACATTTTTTTTTTGCCTCCCCTACAGCGTACCTCTTGGCTCTGGCAGTTGTTACTGCTTTGGCTGCCATCTCATCTGCGGCAGATGAGGAATGTGTGCAACGCAAATTGCGTGGCCTAGCCCTACACTGGCCCAACCCCAGGGACTGTTATTCGTTCTACCGCTGTACCAACAAAGATGTTAAACGGGAAATTGCCTGCCCGGCTGGTCGGCAGTATAATCGGCGCACCGGAAAATGTGCCCCGGTGGGCAGAAAAGTTTGCAGGCTAAGTTTATTGGCTCCACTGCAGGAGGTAAAAAAATGTTTACTCACACACACGCACCCAGGTATCTGACTCGCCCTTCGTTTTCTTTTCAGGCCGACAATCCATGTTCGGGTGAAATATCCGGTACATATTTGGCCGATCCCAAGAGTTGCCGCAGCTTTAACATTTGCAATGCCAATCTGGCCTATCCACAGACCTGCAATCCGGGCAGCTATTTCGATAGCGCCAAATCAGCTTGTGTGCCGGATACGGACACCACATGTTGGGAAAATCTCTGTTTATCCAAGGCAAATGGTGTGTATGTGGCAAATGAAAACGATTGTTATGGTTTCTATGTTTGTGCGGATAAAACGGCCGTGAAACAGGCGTGTCCAAGCGGCAGCTACTTCAATAAAGATTCTTTGAATTGTGTTCCCGGTGTGTGCCCATCGGATGTGGTTGTAACCACACCATGTCCGGAAGTAACCACTACGACCAAACCAGCAGTTGTAACAACGCCATGTGCAGGTCAAACCACCACAACCAAAGTTGTAGAAACAACAACATCCTGTTCGGAAAAGACAACAACGCCAACGGTTGTAGAAACAACAACATCCTGTTCGGAAAAGACAACAACACCAAAGGTAGTGGAAACGACAACATCCTGTTCGGAAAAGACAACAACACCAAAGGTTGTTGAAACGACGACTTCCTGCTCCGAAAAGACAACAACACCAAAGGTAGTGGAAACGACCACTTCCTGCTCCGAAAAGACAACAACACCAAAGGTTGTTGAAACGACGACTTCCAGCTCCGAAAAGACAACAACGCCAAATGTTGTAGAAACGACAACACCAAAGGTAGTGGAAACGACAACTTCCTGCTCTGAAAAGACAACAACACCAAAGGTTGTAGAAACGACAACACCAAAGGTAGTTGAAACGACAACATCCTGCTCTGAAAAGACAACAACGCCAAAGGTTGTAGAAACGACAACAACGCCAAAGGTTGTAGAAACGACAACACCAAAGGTAGTGGAAACGACAACTTCCTGCTCCGAAAAGACAACAACACCAAAGGTTGTAGAAACGACAACACCGAAGGCTGTTGAAACGACAACTTCCTGCTCCGAAAAGACAACAACACCAAAGGTTGTAGAAACGACAACACCAAAGGTAGTGGAAACGACAACACCGAAGGCTGTTGAAACGACAACTTCCTGCTCCGAAAAGACAACAACACCAAAGGTTGTAGAAACGACAACACCAAAGGTTGTAGAAACGACAACACCAAAGGTTGTGGAAACGACAACTTCCTGCTCTGAAAAGACAACAACGCCAAAGGTTGTAGAAACGACAACACCAAAGGTAGTGGAAACGACAACTTCCTGCTCCGAAAAGACAACAACACCACAAGTTGTAGAAACGACAACTCCAAAGGTTGTTGAAACGACAACTTCTTGCTCCGAAAAGACAACAACACCAAAGGTTGTAGAAACGACAACTCCAAAGGTTGTAGAAACGACAACATCCTGCTCCGAAAAGACAACAACGCCAAAGGTTGTAGAAACTACAACACCAAAGGTAGTGGAAACGACAACTTCCTGCTCCGAAAAGACAACAACACCAAAGGTTGTAGAAACGACAACTCCAAAGGTTGTAGAAACGACAACTCCAAAGGTCGTAGAAACGACAACATCCTGCTCCGAAAAGACAACAACGCCAAAGGTTGTAGAAACGACAACACCAAAGGCTGTTGAAACGACAACATCCTGCTCTGAAAAGACAACAACGCCAAAGGTTGTAGAAACTACAACACCAAAGGTTGTAGAAACGACAACACCAAAGGCTGTTGAAACGACAACAACCTGCTCTGAAAAGACAACAACGCCAAAGGTTGTAGAAACTACAACACCAAAGGTAGTGGAAACGACAACTTCCTGCTCCGAAAAGACAACAACACCAAAGGTTGTAGAAACAACAACACCAAAGGTAGTGGAGACGACAACTTCCTGCTCCGAAAAGACAACAACACCAAAGGTTGTAGAAACGACAACACCAAAGGCTGTTGAAACGACAACATCCTGCTCCGAAATGACAACAACTCCAAAGGTTGTAGAAACGACAACTCCAAAGGTCGTAGAAACGACAACATCCTGCTCCGAAAAGACAACAACACCACAGGTTGTAGAAACGACAACACCAAAGGTTGTAGAAACGACAACACCAAAGGTTGTGGAAACGACAACTTCCTGCTCTGAAAAGACAACAACACCAAAGGTTGTAGAAACTACAACACCAAAGGTAGTGGAAACGACAACTTCCTGCTCCGAAAAGACAACAACTCCAAAGGTTGTAGAAACGACAACTCCAAAGGTCGTAGAAACGACAACATCCTGCTCCGAAAAGACAACAACGCCAAAGGTTGTAGAAACGACAACTCCAAAGGTTGTAGAAACGACAACACCTAAGGTAGTGGAAACGACAACTTCCTGCTCCGAAAAGACAACAACACCAAAGGTTGTAGAAACTACAACACCAAAGGTAGTGGAGACGACAACTTCCTGCTCCGAAAAGACAACAACACCAAAGGTTGTAGAAACGACAACACCAAAGGTTGTTGAAACGACAACACCAAAGGTTGTAGAAACGACAACACCCTGCATACAAGGAGATTGTTCAGCTGTAAGTAACGTAGACAAAGGCCAATTGATTTTCAAGCAAAAATTATGACTTCTATCCTCTCTCATTGTAGAACAATTGCGATCAAACAAGCTGCTTGAATGCCGAGAACCACATCGCTTTCCCAGCCAAAAACGACAAAACCCAATACTGTGTTTGCATGAATAAGCAAGCCATTTGCCGTGTCTGTCCGGAGGGTAGTGAATTCGATAGCCAAATCAATGTTTGTAAGCCAATTGTAGTAACGACTACACCCTGTCCAACGACTACACTAGCCACAACCACCGCCTCAGTTGTAGTGACAACCACACCCTGTTTACAGGGGGATTGTTCGGCCGTAAGTCACAAAAGTTTTCCTCTCTTTTGGTAGCTTAGCTAAAACCTTTCTCATTTTAGAACAATTGCGATCAAACAAGCTGCTTGAATGCCGAGAATCACATCGCTTTCCCAGCCAAAAACGATAAAACTCAATACTGTGTTTGCATGAATAAGCAAGCCATTTGCCGTGTCTGTCCGGAGGGTAGTGAATTCAATGGGCAACTAAATGTTTGCATGCCTAAAGAGGTAAGTGACAAATATTGAGAAACTCGATTCGAAGTATGGTTTATTTTGAGAAAGTTTGTATTGGGCGCCATCTATATTTGCAGATTATTAAAAATCCTCTCTTCCTGTCAAATATTCGGCACATTTCATTATCTGTCTTTTGAGATTTTTGTGAAATTGAGTTAAATTTTCTTGGTTTGTTTTCAGCTAACAACCGCATGTCCCGAGGCCGCCAAACACGCATCGGTTAAATGCGCCGGTGGCTACGAAGAAGGTGATCTAATTATGCATCCCAAAAACCGTCAACTATTCTACATCTGCTTCGATGGTAAATTCTTTGAAACCAGCTGCGGTGAAGGTAACTACTACAATGCCGAAGAAAAGAGTTGCATGCCCGATTATGAGCCCAAGCAGTCGCGTTCCAAACGCAGTGTTATGAAGCACGAAGAACATATCTGTCCCGGTGGTCTGCAAAATTTCGAAAGTGTTGCTCATCCATTGGATTGCAACAGAAAATTGGTGTGTCGCGACGGTCGCATGATAGAAGAATCCTGTGAGCGCGGTTACTATTTCAATGAGGCAGTCAAAGCCTGTATTAAGGATGTGAACAATATCTGCCCATTATCTTCGAGGGCGGCCTCTACCACATGTGTGGATGGCACATTCAAGGTCAACGACAAAGATTGCACAGCCTACTTCAGATGCTGCACCAATACCTGGAAAGAAGCCAACTGTGCCGAAGGAGAATATTTCAATCCGAAAAAATTGCAGTGCGAGAAGGATGAAAAGTATTATTGTCTGCCCCCACCTGTCGTTCCTTGTGTAGAAGGCAAACAATATCAAGATCCGGCAAACTGCTCAGCATACTTCCTATGCTGTAGTGGTGAGCTGGTGTCAAAATCTTGTGAAACAGGATACTATTTCAATGGTAAAGAATGCGAATTGGACGTCAATAACCAGTGCTGGCCTAAAGAGGTAGAACCAATCTGTGTCGAAAATGCTCAGAAGCCCGGTACCAACTGCTCCTCTTACTATCGTTGTTGCGGCAATGATTGGGTCGAAGAATTCTGCGACGAAAATTACTACTACGACGAGAAGAAGGATAAATGTCTAGCCGATACCAATAACGTCTGCTGGCCTAAAGTGGTAGAACCAAACTGCGTCGAAAATGCTCAGAAGCCCGGTACCAACTGCTCCTCTTACCTCCGTTGTTGCGGCAATGATTGGGTCGAAGAATTCTGCGACGAAAATTACTACTACGACGAGAAGAAGGATAAATGTCTAGCCGATACCAATAACGTCTGCTGGCCTAAGGTGGTAGAACCAAACTGCGTCGAAAATGAGCAGAAGCCCGGTACGAACTGCTCCTCTTACTATCGTTGTTGCGGCAATGATTGGGTCGAAGAATTCTGCGACGAAAATTACTACTACGACGAGAAGAAGGATAAATGTCTAGCCGATACCAATAACGTCTGCTGGCCTAAGGTGGTAGAACCAAACTGCGTCGAAAATGAGCAGAAGCCCGGTACGAACTGCTCCTCTTACTATCGTTGTTGCGGCAATGATTGGGTCGAAGAATTCTGCGACGAAAATTACTACTACGACGAGAAGAAGGATAAATGTCTAGCCGATACCAATAACGTCTGCTGGCCTAAAGTGGTAGAACCAAACTGCGTCGAAAATGCTCAGAAGCCCGGTACCAACTGCTCCTCTTACCTCCGTTGTTGCGGCAATGATTGGGTCGAAGAATTCTGCGACGAAAATTACTACTACGACGAGAAGAAGGATAAATGTCTAGCCGATACCAATAACGTCTGCTGGCCTAAGGTGGTAGAACCAAACTGCGTCGAAAATGAGCAGAAGCCCGGTACGAACTGCTCCTCTTACTATCGTTGTTGCGGCAATGATTGGGTCGAAGAATTCTGCGACGAAAATTACTACTACGACGAGAAGAAGGATAAATGTCTAGCCGATACCAATAACGTCTGCTGGCCTAAGGTGGTAGAACCAAACTGCGTCGAAAATGAGCAGAAGCCCGGTACGAACTGCTCCTCTTACTACCGTTGTTGCGGCAATGATTGGGTCGAAGAATTCTGCGACGAAAATTACTACTACGACGAGAAAAAGGATAAATGTCTAGCCGATACCAATAACGTCTGCTGGCCTAAGGTGGTAGAACCAAACTGCGTCGAAAATGAGCAGAAGCCCGGTACGAACTGCTCCTCTTACTATCGTTGTTGCGGCAATGATTGGGTCGAAGAATTCTGCGACGAAAATTACTACTACGACGAGAAGAAGGATAAATGTCTAGCCGATACCAATAACGTCTGCTGGCCTAAAGTGGTAGAACCAAACTGCGTCGAAAATGCTCAGAAGCCCGGTACCAACTGCTCCTCTTACCTCCGTTGTTGCGGCAATGATTGGGTCGAAGAATTCTGCGACGAAAATTACTACTACGACGAGAAGAAGGATAAATGTCTAGCCGATACCAATAACGTCTGCTGGCCTAAGGTGGTAGAACCAAACTGCGTCGAAAATGAGCAGAAGCCCGGTACGAACTGCTCCTCTTACTACCGTTGTTGCGGCAATGATTGGGTCGAAGAATTCTGCGACGAAAATTACTACTACGACGAGAAAAAGGATAAATGTCTAGCCGATACCAATAACGTCTGCTGGCCTAAGGTGGTAGAACCAAACTGCGTCGAAAATGAGCAGAAGCCCGGTACGAACTGCTCCTCTTACTATCGTTGTTGCGGCAATGATTGGGTCGAAGAATTCTGCGACGAAAATTACTACTACGACGAGAAGAAGGATAAATGTCTAGCCGATACCAATAACGTCTGCTGGCCTAAAGTGGTAGAACCAAACTGCGTCGAAAATGCTCAGAAGCCCGGTACCAACTGCTCCTCTTACCTCCGTTGTTGCGGCAATGATTGGGTCGAAGAATTCTGCGACGAAAATTACTACTACGACGAGAAGAAGGATAAATGTCTAGCCGATACCAATAACGTCTGCTGGCCTAAGGTGGTAGAACCAAACTGCGTCGAAAATGAGCAGAAGCCCGGTACGAACTGCTCCTCTTACTATCGTTGTTGCGGCAATGATTGGGTCGAAGAATTCTGCGACGAAAATTACTACTACGACGAGAAGAAGGATAAATGTCTAGCCGATACCAATAACGTCTGCTGGCCTAAAGTGGTAGAACCAAACTGTGTCGAAAATGAGCAGAAGCCCGGTACGAACTGCTCCTCTTACTACCGTTGTTGCGGCAATGATTGGGTCGAAGAATTCTGCGACGAAAATTACTACTACGACGAGAAAAAGGATAAATGTCTAGCCGATACCAATAACGTCTGCTGGCCTAAGGTGGTAGAACCAAACTGCGTCGAAAATGAGCAGAAGCCCGGTACGAACTGCTCCTCTTACTATCGTTGTTGCGGCAATGATTGGGTCGAAGAATTCTGCGACGAAAATTACTACTACGACGAGAAGAAGGATAAATGTCTAGCCGATACCAATAACGTCTGCTGGCCTAAAGTGGTAGAACCAAACTGTGTCGAAAATGAGCAGAAGCCCGGTACGAACTGCTCCTCTTACTACCGTTGTTGCGGCAATGATTGGGTCGAAGAATTCTGCGACGAAAATTACTACTACGACGAGAAGAAGGATAAATGTCTAGCCGATACCAATAACGTCTGCTGGCCTAAAGTGGTAGAACCAAACTGTGTCGAAAATGAGCAGAAGCCCGGTACGAACTGCTCCTCTTACTACCGTTGTTGCGGCAATGATTGGGTCGAAGAATTCTGCGACGAAAATTACTACTACGACGAGAAAAAGGATAAATGTCTAGCCGATACCAATAACGTCTGCTGGCCTAAGGTGGTAGAACCAAACTGCGTCGAAAATGAGCAGAAGCCCGGTACGAACTGCTCCTCTTACTATCGTTGTTGCGGCAATGATTGGGTCGAAGAATTCTGCGACGAAAATTACTACTACGACGAGAAGAAGGATAAATGTCTAGCCGATACCAATAACGTCTGCTGGCCTAAAGTGGTAGAACCAAACTGTGTCGAAAATGAGCAGAAGCCCGGTACGAACTGCTCCTCTTACTACCGTTGTTGCGGCAATGATTGGGTCGAAGAATTCTGCGACGAAAATTACTACTACGACGAGAAAAAGGATAAATGTCTAGCCGATACCAATAACGTCTGCTGGCCTAAGGTGGTAGAACCAAACTGCGTCGAAAATGAGCAGAAGCCCGGTACGAACTGCTCCTCTTACTATCGTTGTTGCGGCAATGATTGGGTCGAAGAATTCTGCGACGAAAATTACTACTACGACGAGAAGAAGGATAAATGTCTAGCCGATACCAATAACGTCTGCTGGCCTAAAGTGGTAGAACCAAACTGTGTCGAAAATGAGCAGAAGCCCGGTACGAACTGCTCCTCTTACTACCGTTGTTGCGGCAATGATTGGGTCGAAGAATTCTGCGACGAAAATTACTACTACGACGAGAAAAAGGATAAATGTCTAGCCGATACCAATAACGTCTGCTGGCCTAAGGTGGTAGAACCAAACTGCGTCGAAAATGAGCAGAAGCCCGGTACGAACTGCTCCTCTTACTATCGTTGTTGCGGCAATGATTGGGTCGAAGAATTCTGCGACGAAAATTACTACTACGACGAGAAGAAGGATAAATGTCTAGCCGATACCAATAACGTCTGCTGGCCTAAAGTGGTAGAACCAAACTGCGTCGAAAATGCTCAGAAGCCCGGTACCAACTGCTCCTCTTACCTCCGTTGTTGCGGCAATGATTGGGTCGAAGAATTCTGCGACGAAAATTACTACTACGACGAGAAGAAGGATAAATGTCTAGCCGATACCAATAACGTCTGCTGGCCTAAGGTGGTAGAACCAAACTGCGTCGAAAATGAGCAGAAGCCCGGTACGAACTGCTCCTCTTACTATCGTTGTTGCGGCAATGATTGGGTCGAAGAATTCTGCGACGAAAATTACTACTACGACGAGAAGAAGGATAAATGTCTAGCCGATACCAATAACGTCTGCTGGCCTAAAGTGGTAGAACCAAACTGCGTCGAAAATGCTCAGAAGCCCGGTACCAACTGCTCCTCTTACCTCCGTTGTTGCGGCAATGATTGGGTCGAAGAATTCTGCGACGAAAATTACTACTACGACGAGAAGAAGGATAAATGTCTAGCCGATACCAATAACGTCTGCTGGCCTAAAGTGGTAGAACCAAACTGTGTCGAAAATGAGCAGAAGCCCGGTACGAACTGCTCCTCTTACTACCGTTGTTGCGGCAATGATTGGGTCGAAGAATTCTGCGACGAAAATTACTACTACGACGAGAAAAAGGATAAATGTCTAGCCGATACCAATAACGTCTGCTGGCCTAAAGACGTTGAAACCTGTAGCGATGGCGAATTGAGACCTGACGATGACAACTGTGCGGCATATTATAAATGTTGCAGCAATGGCTGGGTAGCAGAAGTTTGTCCTGACAATGAATACTTTAACTGGGAAACGGAAGCATGTGAATTTGATGCGGAACATGAATGTCGCGAAGCCGCACCTTGCAAAACTGGTGAAAAATATGCCGATCCAGAAAATTGTTCAGCCTACTATGAATGCTGTGGAGGTGTCTTTAAGCCACAGTACTGCGAGGCGGGTTATCTTTACGCAAGCGCAGAGGCAGAATGCGTGCTGGACACGAAAAACGAGTGCTGGACCGATGAAGAAGACGACAATGGTTGCAATACGGACTGTCCCGGTGGTTATAAAAATGGTACATTTGTGGAAGGCGATGATTGCGATACCTTCTACATTTGTGTCAATGGCGAACTGCAGCTGCAATCGTGCGGCTATGGCATGTATTACAATAACGTTAGTAGGTCATGCGTCGCCGACACCGATCGCACATGCTGGACAAATGTCTGTGCCGATGAGAAAAACGGTGTCTACCTACCCGTACCCAAACACTGTAGCATGTTCTACGAATGCATGAATGGCCAATCAAATGCACTTTACTGTGAGGAAGGTGACTATTTCAATCCGGACACATCGGCGTGTGAGCCTGACTTGAATGCCGTTTGCTACAATCCATGTGCCGAGGTCGACAAGGTTATGACTCTACCCCATCCCAATTGTAATCAATACTATTGGTGTAATGACAAGACAACCCTGGTGGGTACTTGTCCGCTAGGTGGTTTCAATGCCAGTCTGGGTTCATGTGATGCCAGTACCAGCTGCTCGAACTACAAGTGTAACGGTGTACCGAACTATGTGCCCTTCCCCGACGAGAAGGATAAGACGTTGTACTATATTTGTATAAATGGTGTGGCTGTTGAAAAGCAGTGTCTGCCAAATCAGGAATTTAATGGATTTGCCTGTCAATACGTCTCAAGTGTAAGTTATTTAGGGTTTCCATTCATTATATATGAGCCGGCGATCTTTGGTTGTTCAGTTCAGACCGCTTTATTTCAGGCACTATCGGAACGGAAGGGGTTTTGCATATGTGCTGATTGTGATGTGTGATTTTTAGCAATATTTTTCAATGGAATTATTTAGAAATCCTTGTGGGAACTTTATCTCTTGGGAAGAGAATTGTCTATATAGGTCCACGATATTGTATAGCCCCCCCCCCCTATTTATCGCTACCTCCCTATATTCGGTATTTTGTTTAGCTATGTTATTTACCGGAATTTTTTCAAGTTTCGTATTTGAACATTGTAATGGCCTGTGACAGAACATTGTCTATGCAGGTCCACGTCTTCGTATAGACCCCAATATAAGAGTATCTCCCTATTTTCGGAATTTTTAAAATTTTAAAATAACTTTTTTCGGATTTTATTATTTTTTTCAAGTCCCAATTTGTTCCGGGTCGAACTTACTGCTTTTTTTATGGCTAGAGAGGCTTTATATATCATTTGATACGGTTAAAACGTGCCTAGGCGAAATAACGGGTTTAGACCCTAGGTCTCTTTGAACCAAATCGATTTTGAGGACATTTGGAGTCGATCTAGCGATGTCCGTCCGTCTTTCTGTCTGGCTGATGGGCACGATAACTCTCGAAGAGAGTATACGATTTGGTTCAAACTTGGTATATCGCAATATTTCTGGCAAACTTAGATCGAGTTCGGAGATAGGAAATATCGGTCCGCTCCTTCTGGTACCTCCCCCACAAAATGTCGAAATTTTCAAAAAAAAAAATATTTTTGCACAGAAAGAGACAAACGACAATCCGATTTTGCTCCAACTTTGCAAATCCTAATATTTGCATCAGTGCTAGGTCAGGTGCAAAAATGGCCAATGTCGGTCCACTCCATTAAGTACCTCTCCCACAAAGGGTCAAAATTTTGAATAATTACAACTCTTTTAAAATATGATGTAAGAGTCCGATTGTCTTCAAAAATTTCACACATCCCCATATTTTTATCAATCCAAGGTCTGGTATTAAGTTGGAATATATTGGTCCATTCCTTGTGGTACCTGCCCAACAAAGGGGTCAAAATTTTGAATATCCATGAGGTTCATAAAATGCGAAATTAATATCCGATTCCATTCAGACTTGGTACATCTCAATATTTCTATGAGCACAAGATCTGTTATAAATATGGTAGAGATCGGATCATTCTTTCTGGTACCTCTCCCACAAAGGGTCAACGTTTTGTATAACTAAACCTATTATAAAATCCGTAATAAACATCCGATTCTCTTTATATTTCACACATCCCATTATTTCTAATAACACAAGATCTGCTGTGATGCTGGGATAAATCGGTCCATTCCTTGTGGTACCTGCCCCACAAAGGGTCAAAATTTTGAATATCCATACAGTTCATAAAACACGAAATTATTATCGAAATCACACGATATGGAAAACTTGACATTACAAAGATTCCGTCCGATAGAGCCTTTACCAAATAATTGTATAATTTTTTTTTTTTTTTTTTTTTTGAGAAAATGTTTTAAAAATCCTTTTCTTATTCTTGCATGCTTAGCCTGACTGTAATGCCACATTGTGCGATACATTGCAACCATATGAGAGCTTCCCAACAATAAATGGATCTGAAACGGAATTCTGCATGTGCATTAAGGGTTTGGCCCAGAAAGAAAGTTGTCCCACTGATTATGTTTTCAATGAAACAATGAAGATGTGTGCTTCCGTAAGGATTACGATTTTGAAAAAAATGTATATATTTGTTTAATTGTTTTTATATTTTGCAGAACATACCATGTAACTCTATGATTTGTAAAACCAACGACAATTACTACACCTTCGCCAACAATGATGATCCAGCGACATTCTGTATATGTATCAACAACGTGGCCGTGGTTGCGGATTGTCCAGCGAAGCAGACCTATAATCCATATATAGACGCATGTACCGAATTGGTGTATTCTGTAAGTCTATATAAACTATATTTTAATTAGTCGACAATTTATCGATGAGGGCAAAAAAAAATCGATTTTTTCCACAGCAATTTCAAGAGAAAAATATTCTCTTGATGTCATTAGAGGCTCATAACACACTGCAGTGCGATTCTGACGAAAACGAAATTTATCGATAACAGCAAAAAATCGATTATTTTTTTTATCGCAGACAATTTTTTAATGGGAATATCAAAATTTGATTAATTTGCAGAGAGCTTCACAATTTTAGGAGAAATATGATCTTGATGTCATTAGAGGCCCATAATTCTGCAGTACGAAATTTATCGATAACTGCAAAAAATCGATTATTTTTGTATCACAGACAACTTTTATTGTGATTATCAAAATTTGATTAACTTGCAGAGAGCTGCGCAATTTCAGGAGAAATATTCTCTTGGTGTCATTAGAGGCCTATAATTCTGCAGAACGATTCTCTAACTAGCCAATGACTGAATTAATGAAATTTATCGATGAGAGCAAAAAAATCGATTATTTGTTTATCACAGAAAATTTTTTAATGGGAAAATCCAAATTTGATTAATTATCAGAGAGCTGTGCAATTTCCGGAGAAATATGCTCTTGATGTCATTAGAGGCCCCTATAATATTACAGCAACATTTGCAATGATCTCTGAATGAAAACAAAAAATGTCGGAGATAGCATCAAATTTTAGAATAAGTTTCGAATTTGTTCGAATTTGTCACCTTTGGCACTAATTATGGCCTCCGAACGGCCAATGAAACCGTCACATGCTGCCCGAATGTTGCTCTGCGCTAATTTGGCCCATTCCCGGCAAAGAGTTTGCTTGATTTAATCGACACTTTGACACATTTTTTAGTGCCAACCTTGCTTTCCAAAATACTCCAGACACAATAGTCCAACGGATTGGTATCCGGAGATTTAGGGTGGTCATTGTGCGCTGGAAATGAAGCGAGGAACCTCATTTTGTAACCATTCTAGGGCGGCGCGTGCTAAGTGCGATGCTGGTGAGTCCCGTTAGAAAGTCCAAGGTCTGCGGCCAAAATGTTTACGTGTCCAAGGACTTAATACACCCTCCAAAATATTTTCGCGATGATATTCGACATTTATTCTAATGCCACGGTCTATTAATACGAGCATAGAGCGACCATCGGCTGTTATGGCTGCCCACATCATCACCATGGCCGGCGCTTGAGTTCCGGTGGCCAACCGAAGGTGCACATTTTCAGCTGACCTCTTTGGCAAGTAAACACGAGCATTTTGTTTGTTTACAAACTACTGGACAGCGAATGTTTTCTCATCGGAGACCATCAAACCAAATTCGGCAATTCACGACTTTCGGCCAAGCGAAGCAAGTCTTTAGCTCTTTTCAGTCTATTTTCTTTCTATTGCGGAATTTTGGAATTTCAATGACTTTACGCCGAGCTCATTTATCAATATTTGACGAATGGAATATTGCGACGCGGCTTTCGCTTCTTTACTTTTCTAACCATTTCTGCTGATGTTGGTGTTTTCCTCCGTCCACTTCCTTGACGTCGGGGGGCTACGCTACCAGTATCACGGTAACGAGCACGAAATGGCACGAGACACAAAAGATCTATACACATTTAAATGCTGGAGTGCTCTAACGATAGCCACTTGTGGCTTTCCAGCAAATATTTGCATCATTGCTAGGTCAGGTGTATAAGTGGGCAGTAGCGGTCCACTCCTGCTGCTACCTCCACCACAAAGCGTCAACATTTCGAATAAACTCTTATAAAATATGATGTGAGCGCCCGATTCTATTGTTGTATTACACAGATCACAATTTTTTTATTAACCCCAGGTGTGGTGTTAAAATGGGTTATATCGTCGACCCACTCCTTCTGGTACCTCTCCCACAGAGGTTCAAAATTTTGAATAATCACAATTCTTTTAAAATATGAAATATTTCACAAATCACAATATTTTTTATTAAACCAAGGTCTGGTGTGAAAATGGGTTATATCGTCGACCCACTTCTTCTGGTACCTCGCCCACAGAGGTTCAAAATTTTGAATAATCACAACTCTTTTAAAATTTGAAATAATTCGCCCGATTATTTTCAAACATGGCACATATTCTTATATCTACCACCCCTTAAAATTTCTTGCACCCCTTCAGGTACTTCCTCAACATAGGGTCAAAATGTTTAATAACTTAAACCCTCACAAAATGCAAAATAAACTTCCGATTATATTCCAATTTGACACACTCCAATATTTCTAAAAACACAAAATTTCCAATAAAAATGGTACAGATCGGACCACTGCTTTTGGTACCTCTCCCACACAAAAGCTTCAAAAATTGCCAATAACTTTAACCCTTCAGATTTTCATTTTTCATGCATTGTTTTGGTTGTTGTCTTTTTTTCTTTTCAGAGCGATTGTGACCAGACCGTATGCCTTAAGGAAGACGACTCATATACATACGCCCCCAAAAATGAATCCCTCAATGGCATCTGTGAGTGCAAATCCAATGTGGGCATCTTCGTTGAATGTCCACCGGATACGGTCTTTGATTCCTTCCTGAATATCTGTAAATTAATTGATGTACGTACACAAGCCACTGCCAATGATCGAATGATTGACGAATATCTTTTACTTCTTTTGAACTTTAGATCAATTGTCAGTCGTCGAAATGTGTCGGTGCCGAAGACAATACCGTATTCCCAGCCCTGACCACGGATGAGGGCTATTGTCAATGCCAAAAGGGTGTGGCCGTCTATCAGAATTGTCTGGCCTCGGAGTCATTCAACGATACAGTTCTGAAGTGTGTACCATCCTTGTGTGATCGTTCTAAATGCGCCGATCAGCCCCCAAATGTGGGATATCCTGCTACGGATAATAAATACGGTTTTTGCATGTGTGACGAAAGTGGCAGTTCCACATTCCGTCCATGTCCCAATGACACAGAATTCAGTAGTGTGACCAATGCCTGTAAGGTGCCGTTACAAAACTGTGCAGACACCGAATGTGTGGGTGTTGCCGATAATACCAAGGTGCCAGCCTTGTCAACAGTTCACGGTTATTGTTTGTGCCAGGGTGGCAAGCCGACATTCGAGGAATGTCTCAACAATTGGGTATTCGATAGTGTTTCACAAATATGTGAAGCTCCCAAGGTTGCGATTGAGGTAAGTTGATAGAAAAACAAAAACAAAAACACGTGTGTCTGATTCAGGGCACAATTAAAGAGGTAGTCTCTGTTGCAATATCAGATTTTTTTGACTTGACTTGTTTCTTTAATCCACGTTTTCAACAGATACCCTCCGCCCTACATAGTATGGAGGGTATATTGAATTCGTCATTCCGTTTGTAACTCATCGAAATAATAATTTTAAACCTAAAAGCGGAAAATTCCAAGACGATTTAGCCCTGTCCCTGTCCCAACCGTCTTTTGTAAATACGCTAGAGTCAAAACAAATTAGCATAGAAAGCTACAATTTTGCTCAGATCAGCCTTTTGTCTGCAGGCAGGTCAAGCTCGAAGATGGGCTGTATCGGTCCACGATATCGTATGACCCCCATATAAAGGTACCTCCCAGATATTCCGTATTTTGATGATTTTATCTGAAAATCCACTCAAGGAGTTCCCTCTGAATGTTTTACCCCCTAGAAGAGAATTATCTACATAGGTCCACGATATCGTATAAACACCGTACAAAGGTACCTCCCAGATTTTCCATTTTTTTTTTTTTTTTTTTTTTTTTTTTTTTTTTTTTGATAATTTTAGGCATATTTTTCAATGGAATGATCTGAAAATCCACGAAAGGAGTTCCCTCTGGATACTTTACTCCCTGGAAGAAAATTGTCTATATAGGTCTAGGATATTGTATAGCCCCCATATAAAGGTACCTCCGTATTTTGATTATTTTAGGCATATTTTTCAATGGAATTTTCTGAAAATCCACTCAAGGAGTTCCTTCTGGGTATTTTACCCCCTGGAAGAAAATTGTCTACATAGGTCCACGATATCCTATAACCACCATATAAAGGTACCTTCCAGATATTCGGTATTTTGATGATTTTAGGCATATTTTTCAATGGAATTTTCTGAAAAGCCACACAAGGAGTTTCTTCTGAACACTTTACCCCCTAGGAGAAAATTGTCTACATAGGTCCACGATATCGTATAACCACCATATAAAGGTACCTCCCAGATATTCCGTATTTTGATGATATTAAGCATATTTTTCAATGGAATTTTCTGAAAATCCACTCAAGGAGTTCCTTCTGGGTATTTTATCCCCCGGAAGAAAATTATATATATAGTCGATATTGTATAGCCCCCATATAAAGGTACCTCCCAAATATTCGGTATTTTGATGACTTTAGCTACATTTTTCAATGGAATTGTCTGAAAAGCCACACAAGGAGTTTCTTCCGAACACTTCACCCCCTAGGAGAAAATTGTCGTAAACGATATCGTATAGCCCCATATAAAGGTACCTCCCGATATTCGGTATTTGAATGACTTTAACCATAATTTCAATGGAATTATCTTAAATTCCACCCAAGGAGTTCTTTGAGAGCACTTTACACCCTGGAAGAGGATTGTCTATATAGGTCCACGATATCGTATAGCCCCCATGCAACGGCGGTACTTCCCGATTATTCACCGGAATTGTTTCAAATTTCGTATTTGTACTTCGTAATGGCTACTACAGTCTATGACAGAAAACTGCATATGAAGGCCCGGGTCTTCGTATAGCCTCCCCATATAACGATACCTCCCCATATTCGGTATTTTGATAATATTATCAACATTATTCATCGGAGTTCTTTCAAATTTCATGTTTGAAGTTCGTAATGGGTACGCTACAGCAGGTTCCCGTCTTTGTATGGCTCCCACATAACGGTACCTCCGCTTTTCAGTATTTTGATGATCTTAGCGATATTTTTTGACCAAAACTGTTTCAAATTTCGTATTTGTGCTTCGTAATGGCGGAATGATTGTCTATAAATTTACATTTGCAGAAAAGCAATTGTCTAATACCAATACCAAATCTTCTTTCCGAATTTTAGGATGTCTGTGACATGAATTACTGCAACCTGCCTGGAAATGCTTTGAAAAAATATCCATCCTACAGCAATATCTATGGCTTCTGCCAATGTAGCGCCGCTGGACCTAGCTTTGAGTTCTGCCAAGCAGGTTATATCTTCAATGAGTATAGCCTGGTGTGTGTACCCTCCGCCGAGGTATGTATGATGCCCAGAGATCATTTTCGGAGTTGAATTATTTAAGTTTTATTTTCTTGTGTTCTCAGAGCATGTGTGACATTGCCCTGTGTGCCGATGCAACGCCTGAAAGCCCCTATGGCATTCCAGCCAAGACCAGCAACACGGCATTCTGCTTATGTTCCGGTCCCGACAGCATCATGGTACTTAACTGTGCAGATGGCAAATTCTTCGACAAAACTTTGGGATATTGTGTCAGTAAACTCGAACAGGGTTGCGGCTGTCCAGATGGCATGAAGACCGGCGATCGGGCTCCCAACGCCGAAGACTGTACCCAATACTATGAATGCCAATCGGGCAGTATGCAATTGAAGAGCTGTCCTGCTGGCCAATACTTCAACACCAACACCAATTGTTGTCTGAACAATGATGGCACCTGCGACGCCAACACTGCCTGTACCTGTCTGGGTCTGTATCGCGAGGGCGAACGCATCATCCACCCGCATAACATGCAATTGTACTTTGTCTGCGAAAAGAACAACCTTCACGAACGCAACTGTGGCTCGGGACGTATCTTCAACAAGGCCATTAACCAATGCATGCAGGCCACCCAGGCTGCCACCTTTAGCAAGCACTTTATGCGCAAACGTTCCGCCGACATTGAAGAAGTAAGAACTTTGAAAAAAGTAACTAATTTTTTTAGCAGATTTCTTTGGTAAACTTAAGAAATATTCCGCGGTCCAGCGCTTGGATCACTCCACCCATAGTAGGCCTTAAGCATTTATAGTATCTCCGCTTGTTTATTCCAATTTCCAATATGCCCATTACTTTAGAGAAAATAAAACAAACAAAACAACGTTTGAAAAAAAAGCGAAATTCTTTTATTTTTTGGCTGTATTTTTTTTTAGAAAAACTAAAACAAAATTCGTTTCCATGTGTTAGAGCCCATACTGGGCTTAAGGTTTTGAACCGCACAAGCATGCAAACAAACATAAACGGATTTCGCTGAAGAAAAACGTTTTTTTGTTTGTTTCCAATGTTGGCTCTTCAAAGCTTTGCGGCACATGAGGAATGATGGAAGGAAATGAATGGAGCAGAAAAATAGGGTCCTGAGGACTTTTTACAACGGTATACTCCACTAGCAACTGCGGACTTTTTTCCATAAAAGAAAAATGTTCCCTCAGTAACCTGAGAAATAAAATTTGTCCTAAGCCCGCTGAATACTTTTCACTCAGAGAAAAAATGCTTCCTTTCTTGGACACCCGAGAGAAGTGGTTTCCTTAGACAAAAAAAATTGTACTCAGGCCCCCTCAGGCAGAAGACTTTTTTCTATCGAAAATCCTGCTACGGATAATAAATACGGTTTTTGCATGTGTGACGAAAGTGGCAGTTCCACATTCCATCCATGTCCCCTGAGAAATGAAGGCCGCTGAGTTTCAAAGAGAGAGAAAACATCCTGGAACCCCCAGGAGAGAACTGTTTTCTTTAGACAAAAAAACTTGTACTCAGACCCCTGGGTGAGGACTTTCTTTTGCCGAAAGGAAACTGTCCGCAGTCCCTCAGGTGGATTTTTTATACCCTACACCGCATAGTCATTTGGTATTATGTCATTGTGCATTTGTTTGTTACATGGAGAAGGAACCCATAGTTCTGCTTGTAAGGATCTGCAGAGAATCACTTTCTGAGTTGATTTATGCATGTCAGTCCATCCGTCTGTCCCTGTATTTTTGTCACATTTATTATCCGATTAAGATGAAATTTTCCAAACAATATTTGTTTGGCCCATGGACGAAGCCTATCGAAATCGGTGAGAATCGGTCCAAATTTAGATAAAGCTCCCACACATATATCTTCAACCAATTTCGGGTTAATTGTGCACCACATGGCCAATATCAGTCCAAATGACCTGAATTTGGGCACATTCAACCGATTTCAGCCTAGAAACAAATTTTTGTAAAAATCGGTTCAGATATAGCTATAGCTCCCATATATATTTTTTTATCCGATTTGGGGTTTTAAGTTCCTCACATGCCTAATATGCACCCTACAGCAATAATCGTTGGTACCAGATATCAGATACAGCTTAGAAATAAGTGCCAAAAAATTTGTCAAAATCGGTTCAAGTTTAGATATAGCTCCCATATATATCTTCAAACGATTTCCGAATTATTGTGCACCAAATGGCCAATATCAGTCCAAACGACCTAGATTTTGGCACATCCAACCGATTTCAGCCTAGAAACAAGTACTTCAAATTTTTGGTGACCATCGGTTCAGATATAGCTATAGCTCCCACATATATTTTATATCCGATTTGGGGCTTTAAGTACCTTGCAAGCGTAATATGCACTTTACAAGAATAAAATTTAGTACCAGATATTAGATGCAGCCCAGAAATACCTCTGTTAAATTTTATTGAGATCGGTTCAGATTTGGATATAGCTCCATGTATATCTTTATCCGATTTCCGAATTATTATGCATCAAATGACCAATATCAGTTCAAATGACCTGAATTTTGGCACATTCGACCGAATTCAGTCTAGAAACAAGTACTTCAAATTTTAGTGAAAATCGGTTCTGATATGGCTATAGCTCCCATATATATGTTTCATCCGATTTGGGGTTTTAAGTTCCTCGCAAGGGTAAAATGCACTTTACAAGAATAAAATCTAGTACCAGATATTAGATGCAGCCCAGAAATACCTCTGTTAAATGTTATTGATATCGGTTCAGATTTGGATATAGCTCCCAATATATCTTTATTCGATTTCCGAATTATCAATGCATCAAATGGCCAATATCAGTCCATATGACCTGGATTTTGGCACATCCAACCGATTTCAGCCTAGAAACAAATACTTCAAATTTTGGTGAAAATCGGTTCAGATATAGCTATAGCTCCCATATATATTTTATATCCGATTTGGGGTTTTAAGTCCCTCACATCCGTAATATGCACTTCACAAGAATAACATTGGATACCAGATATTAGATGCTGCCCAGAAGTACCTCTGTTAAATTTTATTGAGATCGGCTCAGATTTGGATATAGCTTCAATATATATCTTTATACGACATCAGGTTTTTTGTGAACCAAATGGATAATATCAATCCAAATGACCTGGATTTTGGCACTTCCGACTGACTTCAGCCTGGAAATAAGTAATTCAAATTTTAGGGAAAATCGGTTCAGATATACCTATAGCTCCCATATATACAGTTCCCAAATTGTGAATATTCTAAGGTCATGATACGCATTCAACTAAGGTTCATAGTTAGTATGATCTACATCAAATAAATTTCAAATTTTAATATTTTTTTTTGTTACGGCAGCTCTCCTAAGAACGTCCGACTTTTGACCTCTCCTTACCGTTTTTTTTTTTGTTTTTTGAACGAATTTCCCTCTTCAAAATAAAGACGTTTTCCCATCGAAAAACACAAAACAATTTTATATATCTTCTCCCTTCTCTTCTCCCCACTCTCCCCCCCCCCCCCCCCCCAATTACAGTTTCCTTGTTTAGCTAACGAAAAGCGTTCTGTACCGTCCAACTGTTCTCAGTATGAGTTGTGTATCAACGAGACGTGGCAACGTCAGACATGTCCCAATTCCTACTACTACAATCCGGAACAACAAAAATGTCTGGAGCCCCGTGACGATACTGTATGCGAATATGCCAAGGCATCGAATCTTCCGCCCTGTAACGCCAAAAACGAACAGCGTTTGCACAGAGGTCGCACCTGTCAACAGTATTTCCGTTGTCAAAATTCCAAATGGCATTTGAATAATTGTGGCAAGGCTCTGTACTATGACGAGGCCTACGGAACATGTTTGCCCCATAACATGGGACAGAAATTTGAGTGTACGCAGCTGGAGAATAAAACTCAAGGCCAGCAAGTTATTGCAACTGAATCGTGTCACCACCTGGCTGTGCGTTCCTATGATGAAAACTGTGCCATGTATCTGATGTGTTTGGAGGACCAGTGGTGGTATCACTATTGTCCCTTGGGCATGTACTTTAATGGGTCGCTGAACTATTGCATACCCGATACAGAGAATGTGTGTCCGCAGGCCATTAAGAAAAAGGATGTTTTGGAAATTGAAAATTTCGCTCTTGAACCCTGCCCCCAGGAGGGTCTGCTCCGGCCCTCAGCCTTGGCCTGTAATCGTTTTTACATCTGCATTGCTGGCCGTTGGCAGCAGCAACAATGCACCCAAGCCGGACAGTATTACGATGCTGAGGCAAGTAAATGTGCCAGAGACACCGAAGGAATTTGCACCCAACTACAAATGGACTGTGTGCCCCAGGAGAGACGTAGTTTTCCGCTGAATTGTTCAGCCTATGAAGAGTGTTCCACGAGTGGGAAATGGGAAAAACGCATTTGTGGCAGGGATGAGATGTATGATGATTTATTGGGTGGCTGCATTCGAAATGATGGCATCTGCTCGGCCAGAGGTTTGAAAAGGGTCTGTAATGGCCAGGAATTACGTTGGGTGCCGGGCAATTGTTCCCTGTTCTATTATTGCCTCAGGGATAGCTGGGCCCTGGGTAGTTGTGTGCGGGGCCATATGTTTTCCCCCAAGGAGGGTAAGTGTGTGCCACATAGCCTATTGGATAAATGTAAGACTCTGGGCGAGCTGGGAGTTCAGCAGTTAACCGAACAGGTCCATTTGGCCGAACAGACCCAAGTGTGTGAAAATCAACCTGAAGGTGCCTCTGTGATTCATTCCGGCGACTGTTCACGTTACTATATTTGTGTGACCCCCACCAAACCCTATGAAATGCAATGTGTGATGGGTAGCTTTTTTGATCCGCAACTAGGCTATTGCAGGCCCAATGATGGTTCCTGTCGCCTACCCTTGACCGGGGAATGTGCCAATGCCACAGATGGCAGCCTGGTGGCACATCCCACCAATTGTCAGGCCTATTATTCCTGTTCCACTCTGACCGGTCAGCAGCTGCTCTACTGTCCAGAGGGTCAATACTACCATAAATTTACGCGGCAATGTCGTGCCGACCACGGGGAATGTAAGGGAGCTGTAACGAATGAAAACTCCAAATGTGCCAATGCCAGCCATGGCACCCGCCTGGCCCATGAGCGATATTGCAATGTCTACTATGCCTGTGTCCGGGGCCTGGCCATACCCATTGAATGTCCCGAGCAATATCAATTTAATGCCCTGCTGGGAAAATGTCTTTACGATGCCACGGGTCAATGTCAAGATGGCCATCTGGAGGACACGAATCAAACCACCTACAGCTGTGGCACACTGCCTGATGGTTCATATCTGCCCGATCGCAAGGACTGTACCCGTTACTATATCTGTTCGGAGGGTCAAGCCCAGCCCAAAAAATGTTCCGGCAGTACCTATTTTGATTCCCAACAGCTGCTCTGTGTTCCGGATGATGGTTCGTGTCCCTTTGTCGACGAAGATGCACCCAATCAACATCCCGTACCACCAGATCCCATTGTGTGTGAGGGCAAGCACGGCTACATCATGGCGGATCCTTTGAATTGCAACAATTTCTATGTTTGCCTGGACGGCAAGTTGAGGCATGAACGGTGCTATGATCAGCATTTCTTTAATACCACCAGTAATCAGTGTCAAAAGAAACCCCTGGAATCGGCTCTGGATGAGGAAGCTGTCACCGAGCCTTTAGCCGGTAATCTTCTCAAGTCCCAGCCGCTGCGACAACAGCAACAATGCACGGACAACAGCACCTCTGTGGAACAAATGTGCAAGGAGTACTCCGACGGAACCACCATAGCCCAACAGGGCGATTGCCGTTACTTTATAACCTGCCAACCGGAAGACGAGGCACCTCTGCTGCAAAAGTGTCGCAATGGCGAAAGTTATGACAGCTTGCTGGGTTTTTGTCGGCAAAATGATGGCACCTGCCTGCTGGAGAACGGCAAACGTGTTGGCGAGTGCAATGACCGCCATGGCCAAATGACCAGAGATCCCAACAATTGTCGTCAATATTTCACCTGCATCAATGGCCAAAAGATACCCCAAACGTGTGGCGAACATGAATACTTCAGTAAATCGCTGAATGCCTGTGTCAATGACACGGCCAATACCTGTAATCCGGAACAACAACAACAATTAGCTGAAGAGCCGCAAAAGCAAACGATGCAACAAAGTTGTGTGGGACTCAGTGAGGGTATGCTCTATCCCTATGTGGCGGATAATTGTCGTTCCTATTTCCAATGTGTTAAGGGTGTGGCGGAAATCCATCAGTGTGCCGATGGTTTGTATTTCGATGTGGCGGCCATAAAATGTGTGAAGGAAATAGAAGAATGTACAATGGCGCCCAAAAGTATGCAGCGGACATTGCAATTGAAACAGAAAACATATGATCAGGTAAGGAGATTTTTTACTGGGTTTGTTTTCAGCCGAATATTATCTCAAAAAAATAAATTCGATGTCAAACGAAAACTTTGATCCCTAAGTTTTCTGGAATTTTTTTCTGTGGAACAATGTTAAGGGTCCTTAGAAAGTTTAATTTTTTTACCAGCAAGATTCCAAAATTGCCAAAAAAATTATATATTTTCCTTTTTTATTTTTTTTTCTCCTCCCCCGCATAGCTTTGCCTAAATCGTAAACCCGATACCACTTATGCCCATACGGAAAATAAATGTAAATCCTATTACACCTGTGGCGCTCGCGGAGAAATTACCCACGCCCTTTGTCCATTGGGAATGGCATTTGATGGCCGCGCTCAACGTTGTCTACCCGAAAACCAAGTGATTTGTATGTAATTTGTTAAGAAATAAAAGAAATCCAACCCCCGCCCCGGCACAGAGTGGTTTATTGAGTGTAATATGTGTGTTCGAGTTTTGGGTCCTAAAATAATCATTGATTGGAATTTTTATCTAAAAATAAAGGCAGGCAAACATGAAACACCAACAATGACGTTTTACTGGGTGAAAGTCATTGAGAAAGGTTAGGAAAACTTGCTCAGTTCATAGAAGGCATTAAGAAAAATGAAAAATGATTTAGTTGAAAAATTCTACAAAAAATCCACGCCTGAAGGCCTTTAAAAATTTGTTTAAAAATTCTTTAAAAAATCCACGCCTGAAGGCCTTTAAAAATTTGTTTAAAAATTCTTTAAAAAATCCACGCCTGAAGGCCTTTAAAAATTTGTTTAAAAATTCTTTAAAAAATCCACGCCTGAAGGCCTTTAAAAATTTGTTTAAAAATCCTTTAAAAAATCCACGCCTGAAGGCCTTTAAAAATTTGTTGCAAAATGCTTTAAAATTCTTTAAAAAATCCACGCCTGAAGGCCTTTAAAAATTTGTTTAAAAATTCTTTAAAAAATCCACGCCTGAAGGCCTTTAAAAATTTGTTTAAAAATTCTTTAAAAAATCCACGCCTGAAGGCCTTTAAAAATTTGTTTAAAAATTCTTTAAAAAATCCACGCCTGAAGGCCTTTAAAAATTTGTTGAAAAATCCTTTAAAAAATCCACGCCTGAAGGCCTTTAAAAATTTGTTGCAAAATGCTTTAAAATTCTTTAAAAAATCCACGCCTGAAGGCCTTTAAAAATTTGTTTAAAAATTCTTTAAAAAATCCACGCCTGAAGGCCTTTAAAAATTTGTTGAAAAAATTCTTTAAAAAATCCACGCCTGAAGGCCTTTAAAAATTTGTTGAAAAAATTCTTTAAAAATCCACGCCTGAAGGCCTTTAAAAATTTGTTGAAAAAATTCTTTAAAAAATCCACGCCTGAAGGCCTTTAAAAATTTGTTGAAAAAATTCTTTAAAAAATCCACGCCTGAAGGCCTTTAAAAATTTGTTGAAAAAATTCTTTAAAAAATCCACGCCTGAAGGCCTTTAAAAATTTGTTGAAAAAATTCTTTAAAAAATCCACGCCTGAAGGCCTTTAAAAATTTGTTGAAAAAATTCTTTAAAAAATCCACGCCTGAAGGCCTTTAAAAATTTGTTGAAAAAATTCTTTAAAAAATCCACGCCTGAAGGCCTTTAAAAATTTGTTGAAAAAATTCTTTAAAAAATCCACGCCTGAAGGCCTTTAAAAATTTGTTGAAAAAATTCTTTAAAAAATCCACGCCTGAAGGCCTTTAAAAATTTGTTGAAAAAATTCTTTAAAAAATCCACGCCTGAAGGCCTTTAAAAATTTGTTGAAAAAATTCTTTAAAAAATCCACGCCTGAAGGCCTTTAAAAATTTGTTGAAAAAATTCTTTAAAAAATCCACGCCTGAAGGCCTTTAAAAATTTGTTGAAAAAATTCTTTAAAAAATCCACGCCTGAAGGCCTTTAAAAATTTGTTGAAAAAATTCTTTAAAAAATCCACGCCTGAAGGCCTTTAAAAATTTGTTGAAAAAATTCTTTAAAAAATCCACGCCTGAAGGCCTTTAAATATTTGTTGAAAAAATTCTTTAAAAAATCCACGCCTGAAGGCCTTTAAAAATTTGTTGAAAAAATTCTTTAAAAAATCCACGCCTGAAGGCCTTTAAAAATTTGTTGAAAAAATTCTTTAAAAAATCCACGCCTGAAGGCCTTTAAAAATTTGTTGAAAAAATTCTTTAAAAAATCCACGCCTGAAGGCCTTTAAAAATTTGTTGAAAAAATTCTTTAAAAAATCCACGCCTGAAGGCCTTTAAAAATTTGTTGAAAAAATTCTTTAAAAAATCCACGCCTGAAGGCCTTTAAAAATTTGTTGAAAAAATTCTTTAAAAAATCCACGCCTGAAGGCCTTTAAAAATTTGTTGAAAAATTCTTTAAAAATCCACACATGAAGGCCTTTAAAAATTTGTTGAAAAATTCTTGAAAAATACTCGCCTGAAAACCTTTAAACATTTTTTGAAAAATTCTTCAAAAATCCACGCCTGAAGGCCTTTAAAATTTTGTTGAAAAATTCCTTAAAAATCCACGCCTGAAGGCCTTTAAAAATTTGTTGAAAATTTCTTTAAAAAATCCACGCCTGAAGGCCTTTAAAAATTAGTTGAAAAATTCCTTAAAAATCCACGCCTGAAGGCCTTTAAAAATTTGTTAAAAAATTCTTTAAAAATCCAAGCCTGAAGGCCTTTAAAAATTTGTTGAAAAATTCCTTAAAAATCCACGCCTGAAGGCCTTTAAAAATTTGTTGAAAAATTCCTTAAAAATCCACGCCTGAAGGCCTTTAAAAATTTGTTGAAAAATGCTTTAAAAATTCTTTAAAAATCCACGCCTGAAGGCCTTAAAAAATTGTTGAAAAAATTCTTTAAAAAATCCACGGCTGAAGGCCCTTAAAAAATTTGTTGAAAAATTCTTTAAAAAATCCACGCCTGAAGGCCTTTAAAAATTTGTTGAAAAATTCTTTAAAAAAATCCACGCCTGAAGGCCTTTAAAAATTTGTTGAAAAATTCTATAAAAAATCCACGCCTGAAGGCCTTTAAAAATTTATTGAAAAATTCTTTAAAAATCCACGCCTGAAGGCCTTTAAAAATTTGTTAAAAAATCCTTTAAAAATTCACACCTGAAGGCCTTTAAAAATTTGTTGAAAAAAATTCTATAAAAAATCCACGCCTGAAGGCCTTTAAATTTTTTTTTTTTTGAAAAATTCTTTAAAAATCAACGCCTGCAGGCCTTTAAAAATTTGTTGAAAAATTCTATAAAAAATCCACGCCTGAAGGCCTTTAAAAATTTATTGAAAAATTCTTTAAAAATCCACGCCTGAAGGCCTTTAAAAATTTGTTAAAAAATCCTTTAAAAATTCACACCTGAAGGCCTTTAAAAATTTGTTGAAAAATTCTTAAAAAATTCACGCCGGAAAGCCTTTAAAATATGTTGAAAAATTCTTTAAAAATCCACGCCTGAAGGCCTTTAAAAATTTGTTGAAAAATTCTATAAAAAATCCACGCCTGAAGGCCTTTTCAACTTCAAAATAGTGTCAAATCAATTTCTTTCACAACGTCATTGCTTTTGTATTCCCATTATTAATAATGGCCAATTAAATACATATGTCCATACATCAGTCATATTAAGTTATATGATATTACAACGTCATATATACATACGACCACCACATATCTTGGCAATCACGTCAATTGGAGGTACATTCTAGAGGTCAAATACGTAAAAAAGCTATGAGATGGTTGACGGAAATGTAATAACGCCATAACACGTCATATCATCCGTAGCAATGAATGTCACACACACCCTCGTAAAAGAGCGATCAAAAGACACAGAAGAATTGAATTATTGCCCAGCGTATTAGTTATAAGCATACTCATACGTACCCTGATACGATAAGAAGAATGTCGAACATAAAGTATTGTATGTTTTCATAGATTTTTCTATTAAAAATTCTGGGGAGCGTCTAAAAGTATGCTTTAAAATTTCTTGGATAAATGTCAAATAACTCACTTTACATATGTCACTAACATAATGTGTAATCCGGGCTTTAAGAAACTTACGTTTGTGGCCCCTTTAAAAATCCACCCTTATTAAAATATCACATTGGGACCCGGAATATACCTCTGTAAAATGAGTTTAATGAACCTGAAAAGATTGTTGTTAAGTTTAAATTAAAACCACGCTCCTTCTACGTATTTGAATCTCTATATATCCCCTTCACAACTCCTTCCTTAAACGCATTTACCTTCTACTTACCTTTTATTAAGTTTACGTTTCGGAACCTTTATGTACCCTCCTTCACAACTACTTTCTCAACCACATGTAAGGGCCATTATATTAAGGTCCTATTTGCCTTCTTTAGAATCCACGTTTTGGGATCTCCATATACCCCCCTACTTACCTTCTTTAGAATCCACATTTTGGCATCCCCATATACCTCCTACTTACCTTCTTTAGAATCCACGTTTTGGAATCCCCATATAACCCCCTACTTTCCTTTTTTAGAACCCTCGTTTTGGGATCCCCATATACCCTCTACTTACCTTCTTTAGAATCCATATTTTGGCATCCCCATACACCTCCTACTTACCTTCTTTCGAATCCACATTTTGGGATCCCCATATAACCCCCTACTTACCTTTTTTAGAATCCACATTTTGGGATCCCCATATACTCCCCTACTTACCTTCTTTAAAATCCACGTTTTGGGATCCCATATACCCCTACTTACCTTTTTTAGAATCCACATTTTAGCATCCCCATATACCCCCCTACTTACCTTCTTTAGAATCCACGTTTTGGGTTCCCCATATACCTCATACTCACCTTCTTTAAAATCCACGTTTTGGGTTCCCATATACCCCCTACTTACCTTCTTTAGAATCCACATTTTGGAATCCCCATATACCCCCTACTTACCTTTTTTAGAATCCACGTTTTGGGATCCCCATATACCCCCTACTCACCTTCTTTAAAATCCACGTTTTGGGATCTCCATATAACCCCCTACTTAACTTTTTTAAATCCACGTTACTTTCTTTAAAATCGACGTTTATGGACCACCATATACCCATATATCCACAGCTCCTACCACATCAACGTTTAAGGACCCTAATATACCCTCTATTCACCTTTTTTTTAAATCCACATTATAGAAAGGCTATATACTCCCTACTTGCCTTCCCTAGGGACCACCATATACTCATATATGCACACCTCCTCCCACATCACCGTTTGAGGATCCCCATAGGATCTACTTACTTGCTTTAAAAACTATGTTTTGGCACCCTTCCACACCGGCTTTCATTCCAATGTTTTGGGCTTAGAGACATCTAAATACTCCCTTCTTAATAACACTTAAAACCGCTTTTCAGATTTTTTTCTAAGGATCTTATCCACGATATACCC